TACGCGACGATCTCGAGCATGAGCGGAATAGGCGTCTCCAGATGGTGGACACTGCCTCGAAGCATCGAGCTGAGTTTGCCTTTGCTCAGCTTGAGAACGAGAGATCTCTGACATCTCTTCGTGACGAGCTAAGGGTAGCTCGTGGGATTGTTGATCGGTCTCGGGCTGAGATAACTGCTCTTCAGACCCTTGTTGATGCCCACCATCGGGAGCACAAGGCTCTCTGCGAGATGCTTGAGCGCAAGGGCGTTCTTCATCGGAAGAAGCAGCGTACTGATGGTACGGCTTAAGCCGACCAACGTAAAACGTGGGATGCGTTCGCATCTTACGTGGTAACTCGATCGTGTATGCATTGCCTAGGCGGTGCAATACACGAAATGGGCCAATGTACTTGGGTAGTAGTTTACTGCTACCCAAGTTAGTCACTACATGCTTTGGTAGATTAACCGTAGACAGTAGGACTAAGTCACCTTTATTAAATAAAAGAGTGTTTGCCCTTCCATTCTTGTCAGCGTTTTGCTTTTGCTTATCCACCGCTTCGGCGATGGAGTCTTGCACAAAACGGACTACCGTTTCACGAGCCAGTATGAACTCATCTGATGACTCGTTAGCTTCAGTGTGCTGTGAGCGCACTGCAGCAACAACAACCTTTTCTTCAGTGAGGGCTTCCGCACTCTCACTGGGATCATTGTCTTCAGTGAGGGCTTCCGCACTCTCACTGGCATCATCTTCTTCGATATCGATGTTATCGATATCGGCATCAAACGCAATGACTTCTTCGTCAGAGCGTGATGAGCGTGAACCAAATCGGTTTTTGCTCGCGCGAGTCCCTCCCCCCCCTTAAACCAGAGTTACACTCTAGTAAGGTGGGTATACGCGGATGGCGCAAGCCATTCACGTAAAACGGTGTATGTGTCGTGGACGCATGCACCGAGTTGTTGATGGCAAACTCTACCATTGGCAAAAACTCACTCCAACTCTTAAAGGAGTGTACGTATCCTCGAAGTATCTCTTCAAGGACACGATTGGCACGTTCCGTCTGACCATCCGACTCTGGATGATCAGATGTTGACATCTTCAAGCGCGTTCCGAGTGATTTGAACACGGAACGCCAGAAATCAGCAGTGAATCGTGGATCTCTGTCTGATACGAGTTCACGGGGCAACCCATGAAGTCGGAAGATGGTGTCAATAAAGACACAAGCACAGCCACTTGCCGTGATTGTCTCTGGTACAGCCACAAGGTGTACCATTTTGCTGAATCTGTCAACAAATACGAGAATACCCGTATTCCCGCGTGCGTCTTTGGGTAACCCGAAGACGAAATCCATTGAGATGGATTCCCAGCACTCAGCCGGAACCGGTAGAGGCTGTAAAGGTGCACGCAGTGAAGGACTTGACTTCACTCGTTGGCAGACTTCGCATGCGCGAACATACTTTCGCACAAACTGATACTGGCGGGGCCAGTAAAAGTCTCGACTTACCGTGAGATATGTTTTCTCTCGGCCACGATGTCCTCCTATAGGAGCATCGTGATACTCGAACATGATCCGCAAACGCAGATCAATATCATCTGGAATGACAACACGTGGTGTGTCACCAGAAACGGCTGTATAGTACAGTAAACCGTTATGAGTAGTGTATCGATCTGATGCAGATCGATACGCAGGCGACAATCGTTTCAACGATTCTCGAGATGGTTGGGAGAGATGTGACAACAACTTCACTATCTCACCATCTTGGGCGTATGCCCGCCTCACATCATCATACAACATTGTAGATGGGACTGAGGACGTCATAACCGCAACAGTGACTGTCTCACTGTTGGGTTTCGCGACTGTTTCAAAGTCGGGACGACGTGAGAGTGCATCAGCGACGACATTAAGTCGTCCTGGTTTGTACTCGACCGTAAAGTTGTATTCTGCAAAGAATGACAACCACCGCGCCATTCGTTGTGAAAGGTGCGGGCTGTTCACTGCCGTGCGTAAGGACGCATGGTCAGTGTAAACAACGAAGGGTCTATCTCTAATAGATAGACTCTGAACTTCGCGAGTGCATACTTCATGGCAAGGAGTTCCTTGTCATGCACTGGATAGTTCCGCTCAGCTGGTTGCAGCTGACGCGACTGATAGCAGACGACGCGTTCAACGCCTTCAAGGTCGTACTGCATTAATGCACAGCCGATTGCGAAATCGCTGGCATCACAGACCACATGAAATGGCCTGTCCTGATCGGCTATTGCTAGGACTGGGGATTGTATCAAGCTCTGCTTGATACCCTCAAAGGAGCGTTGACATTCAGCGTTCCATAACCACCTCTCGTTCTTTTTCAACAAACGAGAGAGGTGTACAGATCATCTCGGCGTAATTGCGTGAATACTTATGCAAATACGCCGCTAGCTAAGGAATTTTCGAAGACCTTTGACATCGACCGGCACAGGCCAGTCGGTGATCGCCTTGATCTTTTCGGGATCAGGACGTACACCGTTCTTACCAACGATGCACCCAAGAAGTGGTATTTCGCTTGCTGCAAATATACACTTCTTGAGGTTAGCATACAATTGATGCTTTCGCATGATTGTAAGAACTTGTCGGACGTGGTACCTGTGAACCTCAACGTCCGACTTTCCATCCATAGCTCGACTATGGATGAATACGTCATCGAAATAACTCGGCGCGAACTCTCGTACTGGTCTCAACAGATGTGATACACATCTGTTGAACGTGTTAGGGGCATTACTGAGCCCTTGTGGCATTACTAGCCATTCCCAGAGCATGCCGCTAGGGCGTGCTAACTGCGGTATAGGGTATATCCCGTTCCCGCATTAGGATTTGATAGAAGCCATCCATCAAATCCATGGACGAAAAGATGGTACTCTTTGACATACCATCAATGATTACGTCCTTCCTCGGTATCGGCGTCTGAGCCGGTACCGTTGCAGCGTTCAATTTGTTAAACGCGTGCACTATCCGCCACCCTCCTGTTGCTTTTCGCACACAGAAGGTCGGAGAGCTATGTGGGGAAGTTGATTCCCTCACATGGCCCGCTGCTAAACGATCGGCAAAGAACTTGTCGATCGCAAGTACTTGTTCACGAGGCAGTGGCCACTGCTTCATGACACAGTACTTCGAGCCTGGTTTAAGCTCGACTTCGTGTCGAATACCTTTATCCTTCGGTAATTCGCACGGAACAGTTTCAGGGAATACATCCTTGAATTCAACCAAATCTTCATAGAGAGGATTTTCCTTGAGCGATTCCCATGATTGGGACTCATATCGCTCAATTCGTGTCTTTTCATCTAGGACACTCTCGTCCATAGATGAACTACTGAGAACTCTCTCGTTCTCAGTAAACACTGTTGCTGACCTTATGTCGGTTACATACTCGTCGTCAGCGACGAGTATGCAGATCTGCTTGACTTTGCCACTACGCAGATCACGCAAGAACCTTTTATGTTCGAGCGTTGGCAACTGAGTGATCTCCGAAGTTAACTTCGGAGGCGCAATCCAGATCAGGTGTATAAGCGCCTACACATGATCCGTTATTGACTATGACATTCAATGTCTCTGTCATTTCCTGGGGACTTATTCCCTCAGGCTTCGAAGGACTTATTCCTTCGTCTTCCCGGGGACTTATTCCCGCGGGTTTCGGGAACTTATTTCCGCCGTATTTGTAAATCTTGGGACTTATTCCCTTTACTTCCTCCTAGCTGGGGTTGCGCAACCACAGCGAGATCCTCTACGAAAGACTCTCCAGTCGATCTAGGATTATCGTTTCGCTTAACCTGAGCGATCGATTGTTTCTCTTCTAGATGTTCCCCTCTAGGGATACATCTTTGTCCCAGTCCACCCGACTTATTCGAGTGGTGGACCTTCGGCGCAGCCTGTGTTTCCTCACAGCCGCCGGAACTTGGCTCCGAAGTGTAACCGTTTGGTACACTAAGGTTTTGTGCAGTCGTACTAACGACCGTACCACAAGTGAGGCCATCGCACTCACTCGTAGTACATCCACACGCTTGTGGACGCTTCCAAAACGTTCATCAGATGGCCATCTGATGAACAAGCGGCAGGCATCGTTACTGGTCCGATGTTGCCAGTTTACCCGTGGTTCGTACCTTCTGAGCCACGGTATTCCAAGGATGACATCAAATTTGTCATCCAAATCCAATACGATAAAGTCATCGTCGTATTGGGTATCCTTCTAGCGTATAGTGAATCTTCACTATACGCTTCATGTCGGTTACGGATGCGCCTGTCGCAAGACGTACCGTCATCCTCGTAGGAGGTGTGTCACATTCACTGAATTTAAAGTGACCATCTTCTAGCGATTGGCGTCGCACAAAATTGTTGGACGCCCCACAATCGACTAGAGCTCGAAGGGACAACTTATTCGTCACTTCGAGGTTTCAAGGTAATGAGTGAGATCTCATTACCTAGGGCAGCAACGCACAATGTCTGTGTGTTGGGAGCAACCTTCTCATCAAGAGGCCTACAAATTCTCCTGACGTTGCTGAATCAGTAGGGAGTGCTCCGCACCTACTGATCCTGTCCGTTCTACGACGGTCCAGTCCCCCGTTGTTGCGTCTTTGCACCCAACTGCGGACCCTCGTGCCCTGCCCCTCATGGGTGGACGGTCACTACGCCCAGTGTCGCGAGACACTGGACGAGGGGGCACTACGCTCGTAAGCGTAGTGTCCTGTCTTCTGACATCTGTTGCATCTCTGCAACTTCTTGTAGCCTGTAGAGCCAAAAGCCTTCTAGCTCTCTGCACTAAGAGAATTCCATCGGCTCTGGACCTCCGTTGTCATATCGTCCGGTTGACGATATGATGTCGAGCTAACGCGAGCCTGTCTCGAACTGAAGTCTTCCTGCTCCGCAATTGAAATGGCTTGTTCTGGTGAATCTAGTTCAAGCCGGAACAGGGATGAGTCTTGACGGGACCATCCGCAAGACCCTGCATGAATTTACCGAAACCAACGTGTGTTCATCCACCGGATGGAACTTAACAACTCGTGAGATGTCGTATATGTTGAGCGTAAGCGTGCACATCACGCTTACCCTGCTTGAGCTTCAAGAGTTCGGTTCGAGCTCTGAACTCAGCTCTAGGCGGTTCAAACGTTTGTCTGGCCGCGACTTGGGGACTCCAACGACCCAAACGCATATGGGTCGTGCGGCTTAGGCCCGGAGGGATTATGATCTTCGCGCGTCCTGCCGGATTTGACTGGGCCAATACGGCTTGCATATCCCCGTCGTCGATGCGGCGCGCCCTTATGGCGTCATCCAATTCGACGAACCATCTCAGGGGAAGCTTCTTCGACCCCCTATACTTTGAGATGTCAATCTTCAAAGTCTCCAGGCCGCGCGAGTGCATCGACCCGCCAGCGGCAACCTGCTGCTGTCTCAACAGTTCAAACTGTTGAGCACCTTGTTCTCTCAACAGCTCTGCTTGTTGAGAACCTTGTTGGTGAAGCAAGGCTACTTTCTCGCGTTCTGCGTCAAGTTCATTTTGAATGAACTTGGCGATAGTAGCATGTTGGGCATCTCTATTGGGGAGCCCCACTCCTGGCATGACGCTAACAGAACTTGCATGGATGCCCATGGTCAGGCCCCATTCGTTCAACCGCATCCCATTCGACCTCATAACTCAAATGGGAGTAGCCGTCACGCGCGTAGCGTGGCTTTGGTCATCTTCATCATCAACATATTCATGTTGGATGTGAACGCAGTCTTGGACGGACTACGAAAGTGCTACCGGGTGTAACGGGGCACCCTGAAGCTTGTACTGGTGACAGTACAAGCTACTTATTCTGATAACAGAATAAGGCGGTGCCTCGTAACTTCACGTACACTCGTACGTGCAGAGAGGAAGACGGTAAGAAGAAGCGAGTACTCGGTTAGAGTAAAAAAAGTAGAACTGTATTTATAATAGTTAATGTCTGCAATAAATCACTATTTATCTTCATCTAACTATGTCTAAATACAAATGTGTAAATCAGTTATCTGCTCACCACTCATTGCGTGCGTCTGTCGTGGCGCGTCTTCGTTGGTTGATATAATGGCCTATATCAACCAATTAGGAACTACTTGGAAGTGCTACCGAATATTGTCCTTATGACAATATTCTGAGAATATAACTCTTATAGTTATATTCTATTAACAATTTCTTATAAATTGTTATGTAACGATTCACCCCGTTACAAATAAAGATTTTGGCTGCGAGATACGCATAATTTGACTTAGTGGTAATGCTTCGAGTGTTTTTTTGCTATCTACTAGATAAAACCTTCCTGCACACAGCCTTCAAACGGCTGCATATGGTGTATCAAATGAAAAGCTTGCTGTTTATCTTCGCTAGAAGATGCTATGTGGCTCACTACAAGACCATCAATATACAACTTCTAGCTCACGCACTATCTCTAGGGCTAGACTATGTTAATGTACGACAGGATATGATAAGACATGAGTTATCATGGTAGCTCGTGCTGCATCAAATTATTAGCGATAAAATGTATTAAATTCAATATGTACAATGCTACCGAATTACAGAGCTTAATATAAACGAATTTTTACGTAAATGTTTCCGGCCACCTCCACGGGACACGGAAACCCCACGTTTGCACTTTTCACTCTCAATTAGACTCAGTGGGAAGAACCCCACCGGTCGTGCACAAATATAATCTCTACCAGATAGGTAGATAGCATTCCTAAGATCCCTTTGATTCGGTCGTTGATATGCTTTAGCGCAGATCTCCATTAAAATGCTTGACATTTGTTACTTGGGCTTCTTTAGTCGAATAAACCATGTCATATGTAGAGGGCATAGCACGTCGCATAACAGTGCTAATGATGAAGTGCGATACACAATACTAGCTAGTGCGATGTCTATCTATGACAGCGTGATTCCAATTGGATTGATAAATTACTTTTTAATAGGATCGACAGATAGAAATGAGCACATATTTGATTTTGCTCTAAACCTGTTATTTTCTGTTAGACTATAGTGTAAGCTAGTATAGGTGAAAAATATTCTGTCACATTGCATGTCCATGTATCACATCATATAGCGCAGTTGCAATTAAGATGCCAACAATGTGATAGTATTGGTCACTAAGGTTCAACACATTATAATCCAGGTTGGATCCCTATCTATATTGTCTGAGACCCGTATTCAATAGACACTGATAGACGACGTTTAATCTGATAATTATTTGGTATTGTCCTATTCTATCGGACAACCGTCCATTTACATTTTAGCGCATCAACTGACGAAGACAATATGTCGGTAGACAAATTTTGACAGAACTAAACTTACACTTATTTAGTAACATCTTTTATTCGCGATGAGCCGTGATTGGAGGACGATGGGACATTAATCAGTGATGGTGCAAATTTTACGTGAATTAGAGTATTGTGTGAATAATGGTGATATGCCATGTCTTTGGTATTAGTGCAGATTGATGCAGTTATAAATTTATGGTCTCAAATGAAGGTACACTCTTGGATATCGCAACAGTTCTACGTGAAATATTAAATTGCGCTCTAGGTTTAAAATTGTAGTCTTTATCGACACTAGTAACTCTATTTGCTTTGGATAGCGAGATTCATACACATGGTTTATTGTGGGTTTACCGTCACGTAACTGAAATTTCAGCATTCATGGTTTATTAATAGGTTGAGTGCCTGTATTCTTTTTTACATATGCATGTAACGGATTCACGATCAATCGACTAACCACAGAAAGCTTATCTATCTGAAAATACCATGTTCATCCTGCGTAAGTGATGTACGTGTCCTCTGCAGCAAAATTGATAATAATTTGTAAAATATCAGGGTTGTCGCGGCTTACTTAAAAATCTATTGACCAAGAGTAAAGCATCAACTCATGATCCCTCAGTATATGAGCAACAAAGCACTGCTACTGTTTCTTATGGACTGCACCTAAAAGAGAACAGGTCTACGCGGAGCACCCACAGCAAATGATGCTGAGAGTGAGAGTACAAAATCGATAATCGTATTGTGTCGTACTTTCAGACAGATGTGTTATTGAAAACTAATTCCGCTCATATGAGCACCCATATTCAATGCGCTTGACCTGCTGTGGGTCTGTGTTTCTAGAGCGCCGCTTCTGCCTTTGCAAAGCTACCGTAAGTGTGCTTCAACATGTAATGATCTACTGCTTTTTCAAAATTTTGGTGTAGTCGTACTGGTCAATGCCGAAAGTTGAAGCGAGACAAATTTACGTGTATGTAGTACATAGCCGACTAGACGCGCCGGGGTTTTAGAAAGGATTTCGAATACTGTAAGAGGTAGGCATAATGACTATTTAGTGGATTCGGATGACTCATTAATAGTATATACTGGGACCATCAAAACAAGCGAAGATAAAAGCCCGCCAATCCAATCTCGAACGATGTAGTAATCTTAATAATCATTGCAAATTTGGGTCGAGCTAAGTGAAAAGTCTTATATACGCTAGGAATAGTCGGATGTCTCTCTTCGTAACTGTTGTAAAGTACTATTTGTTGTGACCTTTCATCTATGCGCAAGTATTTATCAAAAAATGGAGCACATATTAGCTATCAACAACGTTGACTTATTACAATTAATAATGCTTGTCTAACTTCAATGGTCGGTGATTATACAATTTGTGCTGAAAATTGGATAACGACACCATTTTTCACATCTTTTGAACTAGGACATTTCCTGTCTGGTATGCACATTACGGTCAATATTAAAATCGTAGCGACTTCTCAAATTCTTAAACGAAACTTCAATTCGCAGCTACTGGTCATAAGGGGTTGGACAACACGAGCAAGAGACAACATTTGATAGAATCAAAAAGCACTGAACCCCCCACCAATGCCATTTCCTTCGCCTGCCAGACCTCCGACTCCGAATGGCCTAATTCCCCATAATAATTAATTATGCCAAATCCTGACAAAAACGATAGCCGTACTATCGTCAACATAGCTCGAAAGAGGAGAAAATTCTGCCTCACGGGACGTTTGCCTCTTTTGTGCACATTATTAGTGTTCACACAAACGCAATTAAGCGGATTTGGCACCGCTATTGAGAATCCGTAGTAAAAGGAAATAAGCTGAATGCTTCACTAGCCGCATCAAAAGAGCTCAGGATGCGACATTTTCGACAAGGTTTCGTCGAGGCGAATATGTTTTTAGCGTAGTCACACGACCGTTTCCAGCCGAAAGGGAAATACTGTATATGTGATGCACAATCCCAAGTTTTATCTGTGATAATCCATGTGGTTTCTAATCTCCGTTATCATTGATGACAGATTGATGTACCAATCATCAGTCGTTTATACACTAACGATTACTATTGCCCCTTACCGGTGGGTATGCCATGGCACTGGGTAGTTAAATGAGTTTTATTACAGATA